AACACTTAAATACCTACTAACATTCTACCCTAATCCTCGTCATTCATACCCTCCTTTATTGGTTTATGTCCTCGATAAGATGCAGATGTATCATATCTTGTTTATTCACCTCTCCCCAAAACTTCTTTGATCTACTCTCCTTATTCCCACTCTAACCAACCTCTCATACCTCCTCATTAGGACATCTATGCATCTCCTCTTTACATGTCTGAATCATCTAAGCTTCGTCTTCCTCGTCTTATCCACCATGGAGGCCACTCTTACCTAATCCCAAATATTTTTATTTTGAATTTTTCTTCTAGACATGTGAATAATTAACTGACCAACACTCCGCTCCATATAGAATAGGTGATCTGACAACCACCTTATAACAGTTACCTTTAAGTCTTACTAGCACATTTTTATCATACAAGACATCAAATGCGAGTCTCCACTTCATCCACCCGCCCCAATACAATACGTAATATCATCGTCAATCTCCCCATTCTTTGGATTACATACATCACAGATATTTTTTCTTCTTCTGAATATATGACTATTTGATGATAAATTATGTTCCATGCTATAAAAAGAACAATCTCCAGAGACTTATTAGCTAAATGACAAATGACACATACAATGCGCCCAGATTAAGCATGGGATTTTCAAAATGGACTTTTATGCATCCTCTGTATGCATATACTATATAGTACTCGTTTCTAGCAAAGGAAAATAATAATCAGTAATTACTAAATGATACAATAGAACAGTAACAGCAAACACAGGAGTTATACAAAATGCATTCATAGTTTCGTCGCCAACGCCAAGAAGTCTTTCCCAGATCACAGTCGTTCCCGATGATCCTAAAAGACTGTATACTTAACATAACATGTACAAAATCTTTGCTTCAACGCTAATTGCACAATAACAACTTCCATCCAGTCATCCACAATCAAAATCACCAAATCATAGCAATACATCTTCACTTGGTTCAATCAATGAATAGGATATGCACGTCCAAAGGCGTCACACGCCAGCACACATAAGGCTTTGTGCAAATTGAGATTTCCTCATAGAAGGATAGTGTAATAAGATTTCACAACTCATAAGGGAGGTCGGTTTTGCTCTGACAGTGAAAGGAGTCAGCAGCACAATTTTCTTTGAAATCAACAAAGTAATGAAGGAAACAATGTGTTACAAAGCAGGGAAAACTAGAGGCGGGCTCAACAGAACCATCTTGAACTTCTATAAGGCAAGCATGTTTAGATAGTTATAGCTCGTCTGAGCCGATTAATTAACTTAATCTCATAGAGTGTCTCGGCATTACTTAGTCATAAACTACTTTAAATCAGTACGACCTCTTGCTTCTTCAAGTTTCCATCTTTTATCACATAACAAGACTAATATAAGTTGCACCTTAAATAGTAAAACAAAATATTAGTACTAGGATGTTGCTCCACTCTATTTTCAAGAATACGTCAAACTTTTGGCTCACCTACTCAGAATACCAAATAAGAGCAACAGCATAATAGTACTTTAGACACTTTCTAAAGCCAGAGTATGTTTACACTTTACTCGAATTCAGGGATATTGAAAAGGTTCCTCATAATCAGAACCAACAGATCCACAGTGCAAAACAACCCGATATTCAAATTGAGCAACTACAGAAGCGTAACACTCAGGTACTATTAAGAGTTTGATGTCTCATCTATATTGCTTCTAAGCATTATGAATTTCAGAGATGAATCTTAACAACGTCTAGATAAACTGGGATGATTGGGCTAATACTTGAACATCATGAGCAGAAACCAGCTTTCTCGACATAAAAATCTGATATCATACTCACAAAATGTAACTGAATATGCCTTGATGTATACACAACAAAATGGAAGAGAGGGGATTCTTGAGAATAACTTCATTATTTCATCATTTTTGGACGGAATACAAGCAGTTAATTCTTACTTAACTAACATTACGAACAAATTACAAATCATGTCACCCCAAATATAGTGATATATAAGGTCCTTCTTTCTATATTATCAAAGAACAAAAATGTGTCCCAAGATACAAACAATCACACAAATTAGAAAGAGGAAATGAGATTACGAAAATGTTTATCTGAATTCTCATTCTCAGTTACATCTACAAAGAACAATACCTCATGTTCGAGTACAAGACGAGTCAAAATCATCAGGAGCAACTCTAGCAATCCAATTGTTAAGTGTCTTCTTAATATCAGCATGATTAACATAAGCCAATTCATACATACTACACAAATTCACAACAAGAGACTCATTCAACGCGACAGTCGGAACCCTCTCCAAAGCATTCTCCAACACCTTAATAGCATCCGATAAATCCCTCGAATACATCAAACACAAAGCTTTATTATTCATAGCCACCATATCCATTCCATCCCTCTCGATACACTCTTCGTACTCCCTTACAGCAGAGACATAATCCTTCTCCACTATATACATCAATGCCTTGCTCCTACTCACCAAATTCCTCAACCCCACTTCACTTTCACTCCCTATCATTCCCTCCACCGCGCTAAACGCCTTTTTCGCACCCTCCACATCTCCATACTGCATTTTCACATATCCTAATTTCGACAACACGTTCGGATCATCATCCCCACATATTCCAATCAGCTCATTCAACAAACCCAAACACAATTTGAAATCTTTTTGACTCAAATGATGACTAATTATCGTATTCAAAACCAAAATCTCCCTTCTTTTCCACAAATCTTTACTGGGGTTAGTCAAAACTTTCAACTTTTTCGATCTAATAAAATCAATAAGTGTATATAACCTGTCGAGTGATTTCATCCGCTGAGCGAGAGAGTAAGGAAGATAAGCATGGAGCCAACGGAGAGCAAAAGGGACAAAATTGCCCTTCATATTGGGGTAATGATTAGGGTAATTTTGGTAATGGAATTGCGGGGTGTTGAAATCTTCGCCGTCGAGGAGGGTTTCGAGCTCTTGATTAGCATCGACGGGACGGCGGAGCTTGGTGAGTGCTAAGACGTTGAAAGTGAGGTACGTGAGGTGTTCGTGAGGTTTAGTGAGGAGGTTGAGGGACCGCGCGTGCCCGACTTTGTCGAGGATTGACTTCCACGCGCCGCGAGTAGCTAGGTCTTGGAGATCGGAGAGTTCATGGCAGATGGCGTTTAGGGAGGTGTATGGGTTGTTTAGTGGATCGTCAATGGCAGTGGTGGTGTCCGCGGCGGCAGCGGTGGTGGTGTCGGGTTGTGATGGATTCGGGTCGGGTAATCCGGCGGTGTCCATGGCGGAGAGGAGTTGTATGCGGCAGAGGAGTTTTGGTCGGGGAGCTGAATTGATCTGGAAGTTAGGTGTTGAAGGCTTTTTTTTTGAAATTTCGGGTCGGGTTCTCAAGTGGGTTGGATTTGAGAGGGATCTAGATCTATTGAATTTTGGAAAATTTACTCATGATGATTAGAAATGATATTTACCGGATTCGCGGAGATGAGGATGTTGAGGTGAATGTATAATCATACTAATTAGGAGTGATAAGATTGAAAAAGAAGATATTCGGAATAAGGTAATAGTGACATTCGTAGTGGACAAAATTAGAGAAGTGAGATTGAGATGGTTTGGACATGTAAAAAAAAAAGATACATGGATGTACCAGTGAGGTGGTGTGAGAGGTTGGTTATAGAGGGTATGTGGAGAGGCAGAGATCGATCGAAAAAGTATTAGCAAAAGGTGATAAGACAGGATATGACACAACTTTAGATTATAGAGGACATGACCTTAAGGCCTCATTTGTTTTCATTAAGATTAAGACCTCATTTGTTTTCATTAAGATTAAGACCTCATTTGTTTTCATTAAGATTAAGACCTCATTTGTTTTCATTAAGATTAAGACCTCATTTGTTTTCATTAAGATTAAGACCTCATTTGTTTTCATTAAGATTAAGACCTCATTTGTTTTCATTAAGATTAAGACCTCATTTGTTTTCATTAAGATTAAGACCTCATTTGTTTTCATTAAGATTAAGACCTCTGAATCTGAATACACGTCTGAATATTAAGATTTGCATTAAGAGTTAGGTGTCAAGATCTGAATATACATCTGAATATTAAGATGTGGTCTCCAAATCTGAACACTGAATGATTATTGTTTGTTTTCAATATCTGAATGTGCATATGAAAATCAAAACAATTATATTAATAAAAATAGTTATAAAAAAATTCATTTCAATAAAAAATATTACTTTTTGATTAAAAAAATATCATAATCATCCAGCATAACATAAAAAAAATCACGAATAAAAAATATTTTATAGGCACAATATAATATCAAAAAAGTTCAATAAGTATGATAGATACTAGTCGAAAAATAATAAATAAGGTATCACATTATCAACGCCTAACATATATTTTGGCTAATTAGAAAAACTAAAGAATTCTTATCTTTTTTCCAATAACCTTAATCTAATTCTCTAACTTGTGAACCTCTAACGTCATTCTTGTTTTTTGTAGCAGACACTTTCACAAAATATACTAACACATGTACTGTATAATGGCTCTTCCCATCCAAGTCCATCTAATTTTTTCATATATTCTTCAAATGTATGTGCACTATTTTTTTTAATTCAATACTCTAGAGCAGTAATCATCTTCTCATCAATTTCCATCAGACGAATACGTTTTTTTCTTCCCCAAAACTTTTTTTTCCAGCTGAAGCTGAAGATTGGGATGTAGAATTATTAGGAGCTCCATTATTTTTGTCACCAACTAGTTCAACAACAATAATATATCAAAGAGTCTCAATAAAATTATTGGCCCAAGACAAAATTCTAATAAGAGACCTCAAATTTCTATTATATAGAAATGTGATGAATGAGACGACCAGTGGCATTTTGGCAATTTTGTTAGTTATTTAAGGGCAAATTTGTAATAAGAACGCAAAAGCTGTTTTTTCTTGGTAGTAATATATTATCCCGTGCTTTCTAGAAGCCATTCTACTCTTCCACAGAGCTCTTTTTAAAGTTTGTGCATTCCAGATATTTTTCAGGTTTGGCTCGAGTATTCTCCTTTCATGTGCAGAGTAAGTTCTTTTGTTCTCTTTTCGCTCCTTTCTTTCTCGAGAAATATACGCTAATCCCTTCCCCTCTAATTGAGTAATAGGAATTGCTACTTGTCAATCTATATAATAGAAATTTATTCGTTCTACATGTTCTTCAAACTATGATTTCAGCTCTTTTCATCTTTCAACGAGAGTTTCAATTAATTTTAGGTATTTTGTCATGATGAAAAAGACAAGTAGCACATAATGAGAGGATACATAAAACTGGATAAAAAGGATATGACTTCTGATTAGGCTAAGGTCATTCTTTGCAACTGTCTTTTTGCGTTGACAAAGAAGAAAGAAAGAACTATGCAGTTCTACAGGTTCGATTTAGAAACACAAAGGCTCAAAAATCTAAATGGGGGTTACATATTCCCGTTTCATTGGAGGTGGGAAAAACAAAATCTGATATTTCGACGTGGTACAAGTAAGTATAATTCTCCAATCCTCATATTATGTTTGGCTTATTCCATATATGGTATCTCAACTCTATTTTGGTGGTAGTAGAGCTCTCTCTTGCAATTTGAAAATGATAATTGTACCAAAGGTTGTTATTATGTTGGCTTAACAGTTGTTTTTTTCATGACACGAGATAGTAAAAGCTTAATATTGTATTCTTAATCAGGTTAGGTTAGAGAATGAAATATGTCTTGTATTGCTCAGGTAATCTAACTTACAAAATTCTGATATTTGTATTCTTACTTATTTTGATAGTTGAATAAAATACTGCATGATAAATAAATTAGAAAAAAAGTTCAAATATGCCATCGAATTTTGAGAAAAGGCTCAAGGCTCATCTCCAACTTCTCATTATAGACAAAAATCTTGGTAACAACTTCAAAACCCCCCATCGATATATTAGATAGAAATAGCAATGCACAACCAACTATAAGTAACAATTTCATCCATTTAATAGCTATCAGGAAGCTCTAATCCACCAAAATTATCATATAGTGTATTAACCCTCCTGTCCTTATTCTTCATGAATATTGAGAAAAGACAATAATGCTACGCATATGCACACAAGAAATATCTTAACCAAATCTAGCTTTCCCAGATTATTGCACAATTCACAAACCAACTTACCCAGTCAACAATGTCGTCGACATAGTGTTGAGCTTTATCAATTGACCGACTTCCAATTATAATCTCCAAAGCATAATTCCAAGAGAGATGACATCATACACTTTCAACCAATTTTCCCAGTAAAAGCAAACTCGAGAGCTAAATACCTGCAAAATATAAGATGTTAATGAAAGAAAAGATATGGAGAGCTCAAATGTATATATATACATAGACCATAAATGTATCGGAATTAAACCTTGATTCAATGTGCTATAGGTACTGCAAACTTAGACTACACAAGGATGAAAACAGAAACGACTTTAGTAGATAATGAAAATAAGTATTATCCAAAAGTTTCCATCACTCGTGTGGAGACGTGCATATCAGTATCATAATTCAACCTCTCAAGCCTAAAATCAGCATCCCTGGATCACAAATAACAAATGCATCTAGCAACCAACTTATATATATAAAACTTGCAGGGGTGCTCATGCAATCAACAATAAACCGCAGAGGTGCTAAGCACAATGTGAATTTAGTGGGCTCAATTTTTCATTGTTTCATCTTGATTCATTATACCAAAAGAAAATTATTTTATCTCGCGTTTGGTTGGTGGAATAAGGAATAACATCAACATTGTACGGTTGATTATTCTCTAATATCAGCCATTTTTGTTAGATAATGATTGTCAATCCCCACTCTCCTATTTGACTATTTCATTTTATTAGTGACAGTAATAGATACTACCTTTAGGTTAACTGTTGTAAAGGCTATGATAAGAGGTTTAACAAAGTTGAGCTGGGAACACGTTGATGTTTGCTTCAATTGACGTAAACAATGATGTTTTCCCCTACGGCAATTTAGACATATATTTTCTTATAGTTGCTGATTCATCCTTAAGAAAATAACAGATTACTGTAAAATGAATAACTATTAAGTAGATATGCAGAACTACTACTAAAAAAATATATGCTGAAAAGAAAAAGAGCCTCTTTATCACTCAAGATCACGATTTTTTCATTAGTTAACTTTAGCGCTCCTTTAAAAGATATGTAAAATGTATCTTTTATTACAATCTGTTTGTTACTGTAATTTTTTAACAATATGACCCAAAGATAAACAAATTATCCGTCTACTCTTCCAATTCCATAGATGATATTTGTTGTCACTCCTATACCTTTGGAAGATATGGGCCTTATTTTGATCACCGTGTGATCGTGATCTTACAATTTTTTGTTGGTCAGTTTCTTATAGAGCAACCATATTGGAGTAGATTTAACGTTTGCAATCTTATTGCAAACTGATGATTGAGTCATCAAGAACTCCAGTTTATATTAATAGGAGTTGGGTTTACTTATTTCTTCACCATTATCTCCTCAAAGCTTCTCTGCTCTTCTGGTCTTTCTTTTTTCAATAATAGATGTAGATATTGAAAATTCAAGTTCATCCATTTTTCATCTCTGTTGTATACTATGTATGCATGTATCAACTTGTTTTTTTTTCAAGTTTACATATTCTAATTTAGATAAATATGTCTTCTTCTTTCTTCTTTGCTCATTATTAATTAGGAATTGTGTTTGCATTTGAGCTACATGTAGCTTCGATGCTCAGGAAAAACTTCATTTAGATACAAATATCATGGACATTTAAGTCACAATTTCTTAGTTGACATAAGTCAAATGGAGATTGAAGAGCTGTAACTATGCATAGATCTTCCCCAGAAATGTACAGATAACCTCAAAAAGACTTATCTTGACGTTGGAGATAGGAGTAATACAAAGAGGGAATTCGTGGAGAGCCAGTTGGCCAAGGCCATTTGTAAGTTATGGCTCTTTTCACATTAACTCATTGACCAAGTTCAAGATTTGCTTCACCTGCCCTTTTTCTTGTGTTTTTCTGTTTGTTTAATCTAATTTAATGCTTTCATGATTCATCATTCATATTATTATTATCCAATTTGTTCAAGTGATTGTATGAAAGGAAATGAATAAGAGAATTTTCAAAGGAAGATCAAACTCCATTCAAAAGATCAAAGGGAAATACATTTCTACTTTATGTTTTTGGTGTAAAGAGAAATGTATAGTAAATGAAATACATATAGTGGATTTTCTAGGCTTGTGGTAATTAGCTATCTATGTAAGCACACTTTTGGAGGTGGACAACATGTCCTTAATGCTGAAGAATACATGTTACCAGTTTCAAAAAAGAATTTAGGTGGAAAGCTTCGAATTTTTCAGCTCTCAAAAGAAGAGACCAGTGTTATTCTTCAATGTATAGAATCAGAAGTAGTTGTTTTGCGGTGAGCTAAAGCACGTAAAAAAAATTACCAAGGTGAAAATAGGCTTTGTGAACATGAGTAAGCTTGAAAAACTTGTTATCTAGCAGTGGTTGCTGGGTCGTAGCCACACTTGCCACAGCCGAAATTTTAGTTTTGTTTTGTAGGTACATATATCAGTGTTGACGCGTCTTTTATAAGTTAAAGGTTTGCATAATGGTTAAGGTGTTGCAAAATGTTCTTAAGGTTGTGTTCAATAGCGACATAACTATAATTTTGAATATTATGAACCTTGATTCCACTGTTAATCTATGTTGTTTTTCAGGTATCATCAAAACTTGTTTATTTGGCCATTGGTTCAGGTGTAGCAGCAATGCTTCGTAAGTCTTAACTAACTAGGCAAAATTTTGTTTGTGTTGATTGTTTGCAAGTATGAATTAATAGCAAAAGTTGCTAAAAAATTGTGTTATTTGTTTGGTAGAGGTGGGTTGTTGGACGCTTACTGTAGAGCGACAAGTTGTTGCGACTAAGGGTGTTGTATTTAAAAAGTGTATACATGGAAGTTATTGGGAAAATGACTGGTGACATTTTTATCATAAAAGATGGCTAGGTGGGGAAGACGATAAGGTGCATAGCAATGTTTATAAGAGGATTTGGTATTGGGTTCATCAAGGGGTAGCTTCTAGCACTTGTTATGGTTTCACTTATTGTTCCACAAAACCTATCTCTCTCATTTAAATCTCACTTTATGTTTGTAAGTTGCATCATTCACAGGTGAAAAACAGGTTCTCGAGGAGTATAACAAGTCCTTACAAAAGGCATACAGATCTGGTATAGATGAAGTACTTGCAAGTGGCTTCGGCGTTGGATCGTCCCAATTTATTCTCTTCTGCAATTATGCTTTGGCTTTGTGGTATGGTGGAAAGATGATCTTGGAGAAAGATTACACACGAGGTTCAGTCTTGACCATAACTCTAGCTGTGCTAACTGCTTCAATGTGAGTGTCGATGAATCTTATTCATCCATGTTTTTTTTAATGTGATGAATATTCAAACACGTTTTTTTAATGTGATGAATCTTCAAACACGTTTTTTTTAATGTGATGATCCATATTTACATATATTCTTCTCTTTTTGTTTTAGGTCAATAGGTGATGTATCTCTTTGCTTTGCTGCATTTGCAGCAGGGAAAGCTGGTGCTTTTAAGATGCTTGAGACTATAAACAGAAATTTAGAGATTGATGTGTACAACAGAGGAATAATTTTTTATGACATATGTGGAGATATAGAGATAAAAACATGCATGTTTTAACTATCCAAGCAGATCAACAGAGAGAATACTCAACGAGTTCTCATTGTTAATCCCAAACGGAAACTTTACTGTTTTAGTTGGTGGAAGCGGAAGTGGCAAGTCCACAATTATTAGTTTAATTGAGACATTCTATGATCCACAATCAAGGAAATTTTTAATAGACGGGCGTAATTTCAAAAACTTTCAAAGTATCTGAACTTGAAACATTTATTTGTATAGACAAATGTGTATGAATTAGCATATTTGTCCGATCAACAATAAAGTTGATCAGGTATAAGTGAAAAAAAATATAGTAGCATAGGAATCTGCAAAATCAATTGATGTAAATGTTTTTGTGCGACTTAAATCAGTAAAGGTGCAGGATGCATTTCATCTTTAAAGTTGAATCAAATTGGTTGTTTTCTTTTGCATCGCAGCTATTGACACAATTAGTTTCGTATAGTTGTATAAATATAAGTTGCAGCGTTGGGCCCGTGCTTAGCATGGGCACATACCTGTCTAGTATGTATACATAGCCCAGCTTTCAAAGGGAGTGAAGTAATTGGATTTAGGATGTCACTAGGCGACTATTATTTTTAATTATGAATAGTATTTTTTCACTCAAAACCCTTGATGAACATCAATACACTAAAAATATTATTGCAACAAGTGTTCTTGACAAACATTAATACACCCTAAGAAAATTATTAATATAAAAAAAATACTTGTAAAGATTATGAAAACTTACCGGTTAAAGAGGAAAAAATTGGTGTTTGATTGAAAAAAGAGAGGAAGAAAATTTGTAGTTGAGAGAGAAAAAGTCACGCAAAGACCGAGAGAGGCGATACAGTATTATTTTATAACTTATTAAATAAGTCTGAATGGTGTTAAGACTCTACTACAGATCTGATCCGTTCAAAACTTTTCAGGTCCATTAAGAGGCTTTTTGAAAAAAGAAACAAATGGACTTAATGGGCTGAATCTGAATCATTCAGACCTAAAAATCAAACACACTTAATGGGCTGAATCTGAATGATTAAGATTCAGACCTCCACTAAGTGCAAACAAATGAGGCCTAAATAGGAAGGTGTGGTGCACATGTATTAGGGTAGGATGTTAGTATATAGTGTAGTATTGTTGTCTTGCTTAGGGAGGTTGGTGCTTGACAACGTACTAGTTGTATTATTGTAGCTCTTGTTTTTTTTATTTATATCCATAAATATTTTTTACTGTTTTCTATAATCTATCCTAGTACGTTGTTTATTGTGTTTCGATTACTGTATTATTTTGTAGTTGTTGCTCCCTTTTGATAAACTTTGCATTGTTTTCTTGTGATGTGCTATATTTTCGGTCTTAATATCTAGAATAGTTACATTTGAGTGAAGGGTCTTTCGAAAACAACTTCTTTGCCTCCATAGGATAATTGTAAGGTCTGTGTCCATTCTACTCTCTCTGACCTCACCATAAAATTTCATTGGATATGATATTGTTGTTACTCCTAATAATACTTTTTGTATATATAATAATTGCTTGGGGTTCGATTATTTCACAATTAACATAGAAAAGTCTCATTTTAAAGAGTAAAATGTTCTCTTATAAAGACTTGAGTTGTCTTTCTAAAGCATTCTTCAGACTCAAGGCATGTATATGGTAATAAAAATACTGTCAATATCATGAAGTTTGCATAAAATTTAGGTATAAACGATATTTTTTTTAATTTAATACATTTATTTTAATTCATTTTAATTGATTAAATTTCTCTATTAATATATGTATGTTTCTTTGAGTTAAAAAATAATATTTATTTTTTACACATGTGATATGAGAGCCAAACATATCTTAATTATACGTTGCAGCTTATACTAGCTAGTTACATTAATGTTAATACACTATTAAAACAAATGCATTTACCAATCTCTTGTAACAACAGAACATGAATTTAGTATTAAACATTCATATATTTTGAATTTTCCAACTCCATATTTATGTTTTTTTTTTTGTTGGCACATCTCCATATGTATGTATATTCTTGAGTCGAGGGTCTATCACAAACAACCACTCTACCTCAAGGTAGGGATAAGGTCTTTGTACACTCTACCCTCTCAAGTCCACTTTGTGGGATTACCCTGAATACGTATGTTATTATCGTAACTCCATATGTATGTACATTTTACATATATTAAATATTTAGTCAATTGAATGATGATGCTTGGACTTTTTCACTTTGGGCTGAAACCAAGAGATTTCATTATTCCCTTCTTGATTAGTGCAAGAAGATGTTGTTGCTTCAGCCTGTAGATATGGTGCCAATGGTCTTAATGCTGAGGTTGGAGTTTCCATTTCAGCCTGCAAACATAACAAACAAGAAAATATTTTACTTATCTCTATCATAAAATACTTGTTCGATATATATATTTAGAATTCAGTGGCTCGATCGACTAGTTTAGATTTAAGACTAGCCAGTCTACTTCAAGGGAAGCATTTCTTACCTAGACTTTTTTATTTTTTATTTTCGTGACCTCTAATTAAGGGTAGGAAAATCCTGTTCATCCTATATACTATACCCCTGGAGGCTGGATGGTTGCACATTCTAGACATTTAATAATGGACCCAAGCTCCAACAATACACCTCGAGGAGCGGTGAGCAGCACAAAACTTGTTTCAATCAAATGGCACGTTATTAGGGTAGGAAGCTTTTCTTTATAATAGAAATCCATAGACAAGATTCTAGAACTTCCAAACCAAAGAATTGCAAGATAAGAAGGAGTTTTTTACGTTACGTTTAATTTCAATAGAATGAATTCGGTAAGGGTAGAATAAACCATATGGTCCATTGAAGGTGTTGTGCCACTTGAACTCAAATCTACCTGATCTAAAATTCATCTTTGTTCAGCCAACTCATAACAAAATGTTAGACCTACGATGACATAATTGTATTGGTCTAGGAAAAGGAACCCCCACCGACCAAGCACTCCCACCCCTAAAAGCGGAGACCGAAGTATAAAATTAAAATAAATTTTATTTATGTAGAGTAGATAGATGTTGAATCCCCTTTATTTCTTTGTGTTTTTACTTTTTTTTTATATTTTGAATTTCTTAGTGAAAGATTTTCGTTTTATCAATGATTATCTAACCTTAGAGGGAATGTTTTTCATTCACACGATTAGCCAATGCATGCATGGGTGGATCTAGAATACATACCACGAGTTCAGCAGAATTCACTAGCTTTGATTATGCATGGACTAAAGAAAAAGGAAAATGAATAAGATTTTCGGTTTGCGCACTCCATGTAAATTTGTTGATGCAACTTAAAAGCTAAGCACACAAATGTAACATCCCCTCTATTTCAATTTATGTAACATAAATTCCGATTCAATTAATCAGAATCAATATAGTTAACATGTTGGTTACCCATATTTTGGAACACTACATTTTTCTTTTCAATAAACATTGTTGTTAAAAAAATCATAAAAGAAAAGAAAGTATGAAATTACCTTGGCAAATGAGAATGAAGTTTGTAATGGAGTGATAGCTGGGAAGACCCTATTTGAACATTGTGATTTCTTAAAGTTTTCATCAGTTAGGCAACTAAAACTTCCTTCAATACTTGTTTGGGACATTTCAGGCTGCCATAACAAACAAGTCACATTACTGATATCTATAAAAAACAGTTTTCATCTTATCGTGGGTAAAATCAGAAGTTTAGAGTTATACTGTATTTCGAAAAAAGAAGGGTGTCATAATTCTTCGTTTTAATATGTTCCTTTCCTTTGAGCTCGGGTTGATAGTACACTTGATG